CCAAGGATTGTAGAATTGATACCACAGATGTATCGGCTAAAAATGTAGGAAACGTTTTGGTGACCGTGACCACAAGGTCAAGGCCAGAGGTCAACTTTACTAAAAGTCTTGTGAAGGAAAAATAATTTTTTAAACTATGTTGTAATTGTATTTACTCAGAAAGATATGATATAGGCCTTTCGTCTTCATAGCTTAGCTATAATGATAATAACCCTTCTGCTGTCTGATTTCTGTAACTGTATAAATTTTCAGGCCAGGGCAGACGTGCAGAAAAGATGTTCTACTATAGCCACTAGTATTTTTACTGCTGGTCTGTCCACTGTCTGTCTGTTGTCCTTAAACCTATGCCCACTGCAGACCTGCTTCCGTTGGTATTTATCACTTTGATCATTGGTTACGCTGACAAAGAAAACAATTACTTCAGAGCCGAGACAAAGTTTGCTACAGCCATGATTTCCATTATTCCCCTGTCTTATTATATTGGCATGGGAATAGCCAGGTAAAATTCTTTCATTTTATTTTTGAAGTGATGAAAAATTATAGTGGGTGAAATTCAAACTTCACTCCTTTTTTTATTTAATTGTTTTTAGCCTTTGGTAACTATCTAGCCCCAGCTCCTTTCATCTGTTTTCCCTACCAACAAGTAGGCAGCGAAGCAAGTCTTGGACTGCAGCTGTTCATGATAGTCCTGCTCGCAACCAGAACCTGCAACAGGTGGAGGATTTTTAAACTCAGAGGCTGCACAGCAGTCCAAGATTATCGCAATTGAGGTCTGTCCACAGGACAAGAAACACTCTGATTGACAACTGAGTGACACTGACAACTACAACAATAGCAAATTTGCCTGCTTGCATGGGTAAAACACCAGATGGCACTAGCTGGGGCTCGCTGGTTAGCGGCCTCTGAATTTATGAATTAATGTGTTAGTATGTAGCAAGTTAATCCCACTGAACGTTTTCAGAAACTCTTAACTACATATAACATTTCAGTTCTTTTTGTTTATTTTGCTTTGTATCTGTGTATACTTCCTGCAGCATTTCTGCACAGTGTAACTTCGCAGTGGGAGCGGTGGTGAACGCAACTTTTGGCTCCATCACAGAGTTGACATTCTACATCACGGCATTGCTTCAGGGACATCATGCTGCCACCAAATGTTATGAAGAGGTTGTCAAAGCTGCGTTAACTGGCACCCTTCTTGGATGTATACTGTTCATACCAGTAAGAGCAGATGAATTGTGCCCATTGGTTATATTCGCAATTAGATGTCTTAAGCAGATGGCTGTACTCATTGCATAAAAATTCTAACTGCACAGGGTATATGTATGATCATTGGGGGTATTAAACACCAGGAGCAACGATTTAACAGCCGTTCAGCTGGAGTGAGCTCAGCTTTGCTCTTCATATCCATTGGAGGTAAGGATGGCAGATGTGCATAAAACAAACTGAGAAACAAAATTCTTCCAAAACCTGAGTCCAAACCCCTTCCATGCTGCAATATTGTCCCTAGGTGTGTTTGCACCTACCCTGTTTTCAAAGACCTTTGGTAATCTGATGTGTGAAAGTTGCAGCGATGTTCCCGGCAATGCCACTGTGTCCTTCGTCTGTAAAAACTGTCACTATGACACGGTGGGTGGCTGCTTCTTCTTTTTGTATAGAGTTATAGGGTATTTTGTTATAGATCAGCTCAGTAAGTACACTTAAAAATGTCCAAAGGAAAGTCTCAACTTTTAGGTTTTTCCAGGGCGACATGTTGCATCTTATTTTATTGTTGATTTTTCATTCTTATCTTGTTTGTGTTCACAACAGAGTCAAAGTGAGCCCCATTTAATTCTATCCGATATTGAGTAAGTCTTGATGCTTGATTGCACAGCACTTCTCCAACACGATCAGCTTGATATTGTTTTGAGTGATAATTTTTTTTTCTTTTTTTGCAGGCCTCTTATGTACACAATTTCTGTCCTTCTGCCTGCTGCATACCTAATTGGCCTCATCTTCACACTGAAGACCCATTCCCACATCTATGATATCCATATCAGCGATGGTCACGGGGGCCATGCACACGGTCAGTACACACAAGAGGGTACCAGCACCTCCAACCCCACTGGTGAAATCACCACCGGCCATCTACTTGTCACCAAACCATGTATTAATGCCAGTATTATTGCCCATGGGCCACGTTGCAACAGGTGTGTTGTGCATGCAGTTTAATCTTTTGGGGAATAGGAAAGTGAAATGATTGCAAAATGCTTATTGCTCATTGCATTCCTTATTACCAAGCATGTGCAGTGTTGCAATAAGGCAGTTTTGCATGTAAAAACCTGTGAAGATTAAGGGAATTGCATTAAATTGTTTTCTAGGGGAAAAAGAAATGCAAACCAGCTGTGTTATGGAAAATCTTAAATAAAACTGCAACCAGTTCTGCAACCAGCAAGACTGGTGAGCATTTTGGAGAAGGAGTTAATAAACACATTGCAGACAAAGAACTCTTACATGTTGGCCCATCTCACTATACCTTCAGCCCCATCCTTAAAATCTTCTCCCTCACAGAGAGAATTATGATCTTGTTTTCTGCTTGGCCGTCACCTAAGGATTTACATCCCTGATAAGGAGTCGTCGTCTCACTATCTGTTTAACATCTCCCATGAACTAACAATGGCCTCACTGTGTCAAGTGTGTGTGTCGAGCATAAGGCCCATTTGTAGTGCACATGCATACTACTAAGTGACAGTGAGAAAGTGATATTACTATTACTAATGTGGTATGATTCAAATATATAATTAATACATCAGAAAAGAAATCTGTCATGACAGCTGCAATTTAAAAAAAGCCTTTCTTTGAACGTTTATGCATTAAAATAAAAAATCATGAAATATAACTGTCATTGTGTGTGTGTGCCCAACAAGATCTTGGCACCTCAAGCCATTAAACATTAACTCATTATTCTTTATTTGACTCTCATGGCAGACCAGTAATCAGAATTAGCAAATTAGAAGTTTGTATTTTTGTTTGTTTTAGCAAAGTCTGGATGCTAATTTAAAATGTAGCACAAGCTAAAGGTGATAAGCAAGCTGGCTTTTAGAGGGGAATAAGATTGCAGATCATACCTCATAAAATGCATATTTGGATGTCCTTATGGACTGACTGTGTGGAATGATCTGTGGGTAGATCTGGAAATGTTATTTGGTTGAAAGAGCCTTTCCTCTAGAGAGCAGATTACAATCTAATATTTGCAATGATAATGATTTTGGGTTTTCTTTGTTTTGTTTTGTTTTTTGGGTTTTTTTTTTTTTTTTTTTTTTTTAAAGTTAATGAAATAAAGGGCACTAACGGTTTAAGGTCATAAGTACTTATTGTTAAACCTGTCAATGAGCTCATGGTATGGATGTTACAAGCAGGTCACCATGTTGTCCACTGGTCCCGGTGGAGGGCTCTTGGAGTGCTGATTGTTGCCACAGTGCTGATGGCTTGCTGTGCTGACCTCTGCACTGAAAACATTAAGCCCTTTCTGACCCATTCCTCCATCTCCCAGGTATTTCAATACATTATTATGCTTTTTTTTTTTTTAATAAGGAAAATGTAAAGGGAAAAACTAAACTTTATTGAACAAGACACCTGTAGCATGTAGAATGAAGTGGAAACCTTGTATTAAAGCTGACCAAATATTATAATACTGAAGTTAACTGCTTATCTGCTTATGCTGCAGTACTTCATTGGGGTCACGGTGTTGGCCATGGTGCCAGAGCTTCCTGAGATTGTCAATGGGATTCTTTTTGCACTGCAAAACAATATCAGTCTCAGGTTTGATAACATCGTCCCGTTATATTATCACGTGTGTTATAACCCACCTGGATGGGCTCAATTTTAATCTGGAGTACTGGAAATGCACAAAATATTAAACCTTCCTTGTCCCCTCTTTGCAGCCTTGAAGTGGGAAGTTGCATTGCTGTGCAGGTCTGCATGATCCAGATTCCACTGCTCATCCTCTTCAATGCATTCTATGTAAGTTAAATTGATTATTATTTTGTTTGTGATAATTCCAGTTATGACATTTCAAGCTATATATATTATTTTTTTCCTCTTTCCTCCCAGGATGTTGGCTTTATGCTTGTGTTCAGCGATATTCATCTTTGGGCTAGCATCTTTAGTGTAATTGTGGTCAATTACATCTTCATGGATGGGAAATGTGACTACTTTCAAGGTAAGCAATATCAGGATATAATACCAGAAATGTAAGTATTAATTTTGCACGAATCAGATGTTATCAAGGACTTTCTCATATGTGCATTTGTCAAAGTTTTTCCTATGTCAAATATCTTGCTTATATCCACTCGTTGTCTTGTCTGCAGGCACGGCTCTAGTGGTGGTCTACCTCATCCTTTTGGCCCTTTACTTCTTTGCTCCTTCTCCACACTCGTGTTAATGTGCCAAATAGTAATTTTGAAAATTAAACACATTAAAAGATTTCTTAATCTTTGGTGGTTTGGGGTCAGACGCACAAAATGTGGGATCAGAAATGTCATGTTGAAGATTAAAGTGAATATTTGGATTTTTTTTATATTTATATATATGTATACACATAAAATAGTGTCTTCCAATTCTGTCTGTAATTTAAAAACGTTTTTGCTGTTGAATAGAAATGTCAATTTGTGGTATTTTTCTTGTTAATCGTTGTAATATCTTGTTGATATTTGATATAATAAACATGTTCATTAAAAAAAAAAAACTTTCTGTATTTTTGCATTTTGACTATTAATCTCTCAGCTTTTTCATTTTGATATTTTGCCTTTGAGGTTATGTTATTCACTAGCATTTGGGCAAATTCAGCTTCACAAACACAACAAATACAGGGATGTATGACTTTGATCTATTGTGGACTTTGAATAAAAGCACTTTGAATAAAAGAGGCAGCAACGATCCATGCAAGAGTCTTACACTGGACAATTCTAGTGTGCGTCATGCTAAGCATTAGTACAGGAAAGAAAACTGGGGGGGACAGAGAGCTCTTTACAGAACGCCTTTATTTAGAGACCTCTTAACACGACACTCATACAAGCCCAGTGTACAACATTTTCGGGGTCACCTGTAAAACTGTGTCCCAAAGTAACGATTTGATGTTATTAAAAAAAAAAGGGGGGGGGGGGGGGGGAGCAGGTAATGACATCATGCATCAGTAATTTGGAACAGCAAAGGGGGAAAAGCAGAAGAAAAAGGAACAAGGTAAAAATAATGCAGGCAGACTCATGCATATGTGACCAAACCATCTGGCAACATCCCATCATATGTATATTAAAAAATACATATGGGATCTTGTCATAATCACATTTTGAAGGTGAATATTATTTGGCATCTGTAAACATGAACATATTTTATTTAAACACTTGGTTTTTAAGATTACAGGATATAAAATTACAATCTTGGCCAGCAACATGTCACAATATGCAATTATGGGACTTTTAATTTACTTGTAAGTCTAAGAATTTTGTCTAAACATGCAAATATCTGCCTCTATTTGTCAAACCTCAATATCAGTTTGGGAGAAAGGCACTGCAGTATAAACAGATGTTCGTGTAAGCCTGCTACTGAAGCAACTCCCTGTGCATCATGTGTCTTAAACAAAGAGGGAGTAAAATTTTAAACAGAATCAAGTCTTTATTCAAATATAATCATCTTAAATATATCTATATATAGATATATATATATATTTTTTTTTTTTTAAGCACCAAATTCACAGTGATGTGTAGCATGGTTTGGTTTACAAATGAAACCTGCAAGCAAACACAATGAAAAGGGAAAGAAAATAATAAATTATCTTGAACATACCCACCTCGCTTCAATTTCATCTCCAGACTAGGCTGCAATATGATGTATAATGAACAATACAGGAACTACAGAGGTCCAGACACAGGCAAAACCAGCATTTAAAACTTCCTTACATGCCAATGAACAGCACAGTGTTTCTGCATGTTTTAGGCAATTCACCACAAATAACATAAGACTCTTTTCACGGCATGCACTAATTTCATTTTTTAGGATTTGAATGCTTTTATATCCCAGGCAGATGGCATGTCTTTTTGTTTTTTAAGATATAAAAATAATTTGGAGAAACTGGAAATTTAAGATTACTTACAGTCAAAGTTATGCAATGATCCACTTTGACATTAAAAGCTCAGAGAAAGGTTATTGTAATTGGCTGATCAATGAACCTTAGAGAGTAAAGTGAAATAAAAAGGCCAGTGAGGAAGTCACAAAAACATTCACAATAATCTAAAACTCTACAACAGGTCAGTAGAAATGAAAATTATATATTAGATAGGGAATTGTATTAAATTGGCTAAAATGTGCAAAAAACACCGCCATGGTTCAAACCACCATCTGCCACTGTTTCAGACTGATGTCAATACTATCGTCGCCTCTGCATGAAGAATTTTTTTTTTTTTAAAGATGACAAAAACAAAAAACCAAATGTCCACAAATGTGTAAGACAAAAATGTGCAAACTGCAACATCAGTTCACGAAGCTACCCCACCCTCCCCCATAAAAAGTGATTTCATTTTAATATACATGCATTCGTCATTCACACTGAACTTTTAAAATTACCAGATAATGCCGATTTGGACAAAAAACAAACAAACAAACAAACAAACAAACAAACAATGGGAGAAAACAGTGTTTGACTTCATGCTGGGGCAAAATAAACCATTTCCAGCTGTTTGATGAAAACCATGACTGTATTAGTTTGACACAAGTGCAGGGACCAGTGGGGGGGGACAGGGTCTTGAGTAAAATCCATAAAACATTCCACATATACTCTGTTCTTCATCACTTTAACTATAAAAAAAAAGGAAGAAAAACAAAAGAAAAAGGCATCCCATTGTTTTTGGTTTTAAGGCGAGGCTACGTCAGGCGGGAGGGCAGGGCGGGGCTTGGGTCACCCTAAGACTTCCTGTGAATTCAATTTTGTACTGAGCCGCTCTCCTCGCTGTCCCTTCCATTTTACGTGTTCTTGCTCCGCTAAGTCTATTTCAAACGTTCAGTGAGTTCCTGTGTGAGGCCCAGGTTGAGCAGCTGCATGGTGGGGAGTGAAGAAAGGTGGGGAAAGGCCTTGAGGAGCTTCTCCCAGCATAGCTCCAACAGGCTGGGCACAGTCAGCCAGATCTTGAACAGAGAGCCAGTTCTCTTGTTCTCATGGATGTTCACCACACCACCATGGATGTACATGCAGCCAGCCTGGGTACAAAACAAAAGAGATGGGGAAAAGGTACATTTTACAGTGTATACAGCTTAACAAGGTTCAGGCTTCTAAACTTCTTCAATGTCATCATTGATTATCCAACTGGTAACAAACAAAATCTTTTCATTAGGTTCTCCTTGCACCTTCTGGATCACCAACAGTTTTTTATTTTTATTTTAAGAGGACGGTTCCATATAATAACTATAACATCAAAAACAAAATTAGATGTCCACAAATATAGACAAAAAACAGCCATCATCAGGGGCTTAGAGCCAATCACTGGTCTCATCCACACATTGAAACTATCTATCACACCTCACCACATGTCTTGCAGCACCCTCTCATATTTCTGCCACTCCTGGGTTCATGCAGTAATACTGATCCTCTCTTGACACCATAACTTAATGTTTTATCTAGATCCATAAAGTGCAAGTCCTCCTCCTTAATACTTCTGCATCAACACTCTCAAAGCAAACATTGCATCTGTAGAGCTCTTTATTGGTGTGAAGCCATTCTGCAGCTCACTGATCGTTACCCATCTTCTTAACCTAGCCTCCACAACTCGTTCTCATAGCTTCACGGCATCACTCGTAAACTCCTTCCCTCTGTAGTTACTACAGCTCCACAATTGATCAATAATGTGCATCAATGTCAAAATTGTCAAGGAGCCTCAAGTTCTGAAATGTGAAGCCTAAAACCTCATATTTACTAACAGTCAGGATAGGGATGATTGTATAAGACTCATATTTTCCCCTCTTTTTTTTAAAGAAGAAAATGACCCTGCTTTTTATTGGATTTACAACATTTTCAACATTTCTGTAAATATTTTCCTCATAGTATAAATATTTACATAATGAAATAACCAGTTTCATTATTTATTTATACCAGAATGATATTCACTTTGTAAATTATATATATTTTGCAAAACGGTTTGATAAACCATGCTGCGCTTTAGGGCATCACTCCTCTGTGATGGACAGATTGCTGTAAGCACTGTCCTCACAGTTTGTCATATTTGGATTTACAAACAGATGCATCAGCTAGAGGCTTTACAGAGAGAATCTGCAAACCAGAAGGTGACGTCACCATGGCTTTGTCCATCTTTTTATATAGTATATGCTAGGAACCCACGACAGCTTATCTAACATGTAATTTCACCTTCTGTGTATACATTTATATTCTGAGTTTGGTGAGTACTAAGGTAATTTTGCTACTTTGAAATTTAGACTGATCCAAAGAAATGGTATTGTACTAACTGGGGTAACAGCAGCACAGTGAAAGTAGGCTGGCTCGGGCATCACTGCTGGTAGTTTGCTCCACTGGAAAGTCTGAAGGTTGATTTTCCACAGATCAGCTAATATCAATTCCCCATTGTAGCCTCCACAGATAAATACATCTACAATAGAAAAAGCAGATAAAAACATTAGAATGAGAGGATGTAGTATGAAATTACAGTGCTTAATAAGTGATACTGGCTATACAGAAATATGTTCTTTGGTATAGCAGGCCTCACCGTTGCGTATCTGCACGCAGCTATGGCACCTTCGAGGAGCAGGATAGCCTGTCAAAAGCACAGATATTTTAGCAAAGTGCACTACTGTTAAGGATAGCACAGGCTTACAGTTAATCATGATGTGAAGTATACAAACCTATCTTTTCATGAGGTTTAGTTGTAATCTCCTCCCAGGAATTGGTTTCCAGATTATAAGCATGTATCTTAAATAAATAAAAAAAAATAAAAAAAACATTTTAAAAAGTGACATGTGTGAAAAATGACAGACTTGGACAATTATCAAGATGGAAGACACTTCTACTGATAAATTCAAAATATTTCCAAATCATCTGATCAGCTTTTGCGTAGAAGTACAGATATATAAACAATGACTAATGCTAGCATTTTTATATGCTTTTTTAGTAGTAGTGTACAGATTTTTTTTTTTTTTTGTAAAACCAGAGTTTTGTTTCTTCTCTTTTTACCATTGGCACACTAAACAAATCCTAGGGAGTTCAAAAAAAGACTAGACTTTAGACTAAGACTATGAATACACCAGGGACATGGATTTTCCTTAGCTGGAACCTTAGCTGGTGACAAGTTACTTGAGGGTATATAAAATCTTTCAGTGGTACAGTACCTTATCTAAAGGATATGATGTCCAGGAAGTTCCTCCTCCCAGAATATAGATCCTCTGTCCATCATGTGCTATTTCATGCCTATATCTGTGAAACACACCATGACAAGGAATTTTAACATTTTAATACTAGTAGAGATGGAAAGAGATATGTTATCAGAAAACTTCACTCGCGATACAATATTATTGTAATTTTTAAGATTCTGCAATAATAATTCCGGCGACCTTCCAGTTACAGATGCACTTCCCAACCCCCTGAGCCACGGTCGCCCAATTATTATTAATAATTCTTTTTTGCTTGCAAAATGATTTTCAAGCATACCAACAATGTCACTATAACCTGCCATAAATGTTAACATAAGACGGAATCAGTCGGCAATTGAATGGGGTCAAAGTGGCAATTATATCCAATCTGTTTCTGATAATACAGCAGTGAACTGCAGAGAAATTTATTGTATTCTATAAAATATTGATATTTGGTTTCCCTGTATTGATACAATATTGCCAAACAAAATATCCCCCCCACCCCTAATGCTAAACTCCTCTATCATCATACCGCTCCTCGGGCAGGTCATCGGGAGGGTTGTTGGGCTTAAGGTGGATCCACTCTCTTGTGGTCAGGTCCAGCCTGTGTAGGTCTGTGCTGTAGATATAACCTGTTGTCCCTCCAAACACGTACAGGAAGCCGTTTATAATAACCATTGCCTGGAGGCAGAAAGTATGAAATGGCAGATAAAACACTGAAACAAAAATTTTACGTACAAATTTTTCTAATTTGAATGTGGTCGTCAGAAAGGAGGACGACTGATTTCTGTGGCTACCTGTCCATAGATTCTGTTGGGCTTCTTCCCTCGACAGTTGAGCAGCGACCATCGTTTGTACTTCACGTTACAAACGTGAACGTCGTTGCCATTATTTTCACCAAAGGGGATTCCGGTGCCCCCAAACACCAGGAGGTTGTTACCGTGCAAAACAGCTGCAGAAAAACAGCAACACCAAATTTGATTTTCATACATGGGGTTTGTTTTTTTTTGTTTGTTTGGTTGGGTTTTTTGGGGGGGGGGGTATGAAATACCAACAATGTGTAAACACTAGTAAAATGTTCAGAAGTACTAAATACACAATGCTTCACCTGACATTGATGCCAGCTCTGTGGGCATGTAGCCCTCTGTTCGGATCTGCTGCCAGCAGCCTGTTGCAAAATGATACCTCCATAGCTCCCTGAAAAGTGGATAGTCTTCATTTTCTGAGCCTCCTGACTCATCGTAGTCAGGGTTGTACCCACCAAACACATACAGGTTAGTGTTGTCAGCGACGCAGCGGTGCCCACTGCGGGCAGGTGGTGTGCGATGCCCTGGAAACAGAAAAAAAATAAACAATCAAAGCCTAAAAATGACGATGAGGAGTACCATCCATCATACCAAAAAGCTACTACTTGAGCTAAATGCTGCTCTTAATTTTATGCATGATTTGGACTTTGACACTGCTTTACCAGTAGAGCTGGGCGATAGAACGATAACGATATGTATCGCGATATAACTTTTACTCGATAGAGAAATTTAAGCTATCGCGATAGACCTCGCCGCTCTTGTCATCTTAAAAAAAAAAAAAAAAAAGGTCAGCCAAATTCAGTAGCGCAGAGCCGAACCAATCACAGCCGCAGCGTCACGTCGTGTGACTTGTTACGTACAGCACAAGTGCCAAGCCGCACGTGTGTTTGTTTGGGAAGCAGCCAGCGGGTAATGGAGCCAGCGCGTAATGGAGGAAATGAGTGTGCCGACTAGAAAAATCAACCGAGCGTGACCGAAGAGAAAACAGATGATGGTTCCAACGCCGGAGAGATTGTCGAACGGAAGAGCCATAGAAGTTCCGTAGTTTGAAGGTATTTCGGCTATTTCAAGTCTGACAAAAAACAGAGTAGCATGCACTGTAAATTGTGCCGAAAACAAGTCTGGAAATACAATAAACTGGTGCATGCGTCACACTGCGCCACGTTATTGTTTCGGTGAAATGAATTTCTACAATACTGTTACTGTTAATTCTACTCTCTGCAGTGTTTAAATGCTTACACATACACACAGTTACTGTCCGTCCACACATACGACTCGGTTCTGCTTCTATGCCCCAGCTTTGTTTACTTTTTCCCACCAAGGCTTCTAGACTTCTGATTGGCCAACATTTCTGCACGGTTAGGAATCTAGCGCCACCTGCTGCTTTGGCATGTTCATAGCAGCGTTTTCCTTCATTTCTGCCTTTATGTGTGGACGGGATTCTTTTTTTAAAACGAAAACGGAAAATCTCCGTTTTCAAAAATACCCGTGTACGTGTGGACGTAGCCTCAGTCTCTGACTGGAAGCGCTAATTCGTCATTCGGCTTTTGTCAGACTAAAGTAACTGTTAAAACTGTTTGAAAAGCTCAGCTATACAACAAGGAGAGATTGAGAATTTCCTTTTAGTTCTCAGTTTATTTGATATTGACAAAAGTTAGTCAGTTTTGTCTGTTCTTCTGTAAAACAAACTAAGATTTATTTTTAGAATTAATATTTTGTTTCTAAGTGGAATTGACAATTTAGTCTGTTTCATTTGTTCTATTTTGAAACTTAAACGCTTTAGCGGCTGCCTTTTGTGTAGTTTGCAATATTTGCCTTTATTTATCTGAAAAAGTCTCATGTTCCTTAAGTACATCTACCCTGTTGAACTTATTATGAGAAATAAATATTTAAATCAAAACAAGCTGCTGATTATTTCACATTTTACTTGTGAGCAACGGCACATTTAAATCTTACAAATATAGTTATTTGGCTTATATCGTGATAGATATCGTTATCGCCTGAAATGAAAAAAACATATCGTGATATGAAAAAATCTCATATCGCCCAGCTCTATTTACCAGATGAAACAAACTTTTTTTTAAAAAACTGACAGAAAAAAAAAAGGTATATAAAAAACATTATCCAAAAGTAATACAAGTACTTGTAATAACAGTGATATGCCGTGGTCATATCACCCAGCAATCAAATCAATTAAAGCGTTAGAGTATAATCTGCATATGCATCTAAAAAGTCAAACGTTTTTTAGAACTTAAGACTAGTTATAGCTCCAACCTGACTAATGCTCCACCGGTTATATACATAACATGTCAACTTTCATATTCATAACTATGAGAAATTCTGCATTACAAGAGTCGTTGTATGACATTTACTGGAACTTGGGAAGAAACGTAAAGGCGTTAGACCAAGAACGCTATATAAGCTCAAGATTATGATCTATGTTAACTGATAAGAATGTGCTTAAGGTTCAGTATAATCAGCATTCATTACTAATTTCCTTGGCTGTATTGCAGTCTTTAGGATTACCATAAATAATTTTTACAACAGGTCAGCTGGGATACATGATGGATGGAGCGAATTTTAATGCAGTTGCATAAATCCTTAACAGAGAGGAGGAAAGGAGTTACACAGAAGATTAAAAAAAATCCTATTTTCTTATATTTAATTTTTTAAATGCTATTGGATAGATATACTAATTGAGGCAAATTACTGTGAAGCCGCAGTTACAGGGTAATTTACTAACAATGTGCTGTAATTTATATATAAAGATGCAGCCAGTTCACCTCAGTAAAAAGAAAAAACAACTTTTTGTAGAAATAATGCAAATTAGTGGCTTAAAAATCCAGAGGAAGGCAAAGCGCTGCATGCCTGCTAACTAAAATAATCCAGTTTAAGCTCAGGTTTCATATAATTTTTTTTCCTCTGAAAACAGCAAGGCAATCATGATAAATGAGACGAGGCTGAATAAAAGTGAATATGCTTTTTATATAAGAAATAACTCTTCTATCAGAAGAGTTATTTCTCAGCACTGTGCAAAGGGGTCTAATGATTAGGACTCAGGTGCAGCGCAAGATTGATCCAGAGGAGAACTGCATTATTAAAAACTGTCCCGCCCTATAAACCTGAAATCTGTGTGGAACAGCTGACCTGTACCATGCGCAAAAGACCACAAAACATCATTTACAGTCAGATGATGAGCCATCTCAGTTGCTATGTTACTATCCCATGTGCGTGAATGCGCACTTCGCCTTTTAGTTTTAATAGCACATTGCAACATTTAAGCATTAATTTAACTCCCCAAACCTTTTATTAGTTACAGATTCAACAAATGGGGTTTGCCTCTAAACACGCACGCAATTTTTTTTCCAAACACAACTTTTTTTTTTTCCAGCACTAAAGTTTGTGCAATTTGCAGTAAATTGTGTTCCGAAGACTTTGTAATTTACACTGGTGTGACTCATTTAAATATTCTCCTCCTGAAAGTGAAAATACAAATACATTTGGCATAATACCAGCCTCAAAAAACCCCTCCTGTTCACATACTGACACTTAGTCTCTTTCGTAAATCCAGCAGCTTTTTAATGTCAAAAGAAGGGTTTGTGCTGCTGTAGACGTTAGTACACCTGGCCCTAGATTTTTCTTCTTTTTAAGCCTACAGTGAGTTTTTCCACAGACTGTTCTCTTTTATAAGACCTCCATAAAACAAAAGGGTCAGAACATGTTGTGGTGAAGGAGGATGTGCGTTTTGTAGTCCATCTTCTACTCATTGTAGTTTCATCAATACTCAGGCACACTATGGCACCTATTTGCTCCTACTGTCTTGTAAAACTTCATATGAGCAATAAAACTACAATATAAGTATTTTATCAGTCATCAAGATAATATTTCTCTGTAGATCTATGTCAACATCCGTTAGAGTGACCAGTTTTGGTCTTTGCACTGCAGAATTTCCCTTTCCTGACCAGCTTGTATCTGTAAAACACAAAAGTATACAGGATCTCAACTTAGGATCTACCACAGGCATAAGAGGAAATAACTAGCAACCAAAGAGCAGTCTATTCTTTGAAAATTTTATACACACAATAGATCAGCTCAGATATGTTTGGGTTTTAGTTTTTAGTTTTTTGACCAGTAGAGGTTATACTGAAGTTATCCTCGCTATACGTTGCTGGAAAATATAGATGTAACACATCTCTCCATGACTGAGAACATACCTAATAAGAGCTTTAAACATGTTAGTGGACATGGCTCTGTGATCCGCTTAAACCATCAAATATTTTATCAACCCTCAGCATAAACCACAGATACACACAAAGCTTAAACCTTCAAATTGTTATAAATAAAACCTTAAATCCATGAAATCCACTCCAGCCGATATTAGAACATTTACTGTAGCACACTGCAGCCGATAAAGCTCTATGCAAAAGTATTATGTGCCATTTTCTCCTGTTAGCTTAGATAGGATCGCACCCAACACATCAAAAGATAATCAAACAGAATTGCGGGATGTTGCTAGCCTGAATGTAATGCTTTAAAATATCACGAGTAAAGTCAAAGTTTAAAATTCCTGACTCAAAGTAACAAGCAGCTGATGTAAATGACACAGACTCAATTTGACTGTACAAACATGATAACGTCCAGGTAAAGCGTAACGTCGTTAGCATATCTTGCTAATGTTTTTGACCGACCTGCTAACGTCACACCGTGCGGCGGCCGGCCTGTCAATTTCTGGAATTTATTCAGCTGGTCTGGACTGTGAGCACATTCGGCGTCCGACATCGTCTCCCCCTTTACAATCCAGTCACGGAGAATGGCACGTCAAATAAAAACAACATCTCATAAGAGCCGTAGAATCATTTTACGTTTCAGTCAGTTTGGAAGACATCCACAAACGTTACCTCCCCCCGCTGTGGATTGGACTTGGCCAATCACTGGACTCGTTATTAGGACGTTGCGTCATTAGATGTGGGCGGGGCGGCGCTTGCCGGTATGTATCCACAACACAACAGTTTTACTTGGAGTGTGGATGGCCCAAAATGCGTTCCCAGGCTATATATATATATATATATATATATATATATATATATATATATATATATATATATATATATATATATATATATATATGCACATATTAAAAATACAAATAATGAAAAAAAAATGTTGTTATTGCTTGCACTGTACAGACCTAGTCAAGGTTACCAATTACCTTCTTTTAACAACTGAGAGTGGAGACAGATTATCATTTAGAACATGAAGTGGCATTCTTATGTTTGGGGGGAGAAACAAACAAACCATTAAAAAAAACTGTCACCATGGGCAGCTATTCATTATCTAGAGATCACATCACCTGTGGTGCACCATAAGGTTCAGTTTTAGGTCTTACTTTGTTTTCTATTCATGTGCTTTCAGTTGGAGAAAATACAGTTAGTGAATCAGGAAGTGCAGAGGATGAGTAGTAAGAATTGGGGGCAGCTATTAAAGACATACCTGGAGATGTTTAAGACAGAGGGCTTTTGACCAGATTGTTTAACACAGTCTTGGAGAACATGCCTAAGGAATGGAGAATAAGTCGAGTGGTAATGATTTTCAAGAACAAAGGTGATGTGCAGAGCTGTAGTAAAAACAGAGTTTAGAAAGTTGATGACCCAGACCATAAAGACAGAGTGAGAGATGTGGAAACTAGATTAGGAGGAGAGTTGAAAATCAGTGAGCAGGTGATGTAGGCGATGGCATGTATGTAAAATTTAATGTAATACTTTTAGTCAATAATTTCAATCACTAATATCTTTAGTATTTTCTTCCCTAATGTTAAAAATATGGTCAGATAAGCAAGATGGGACAAAAATGTTTCTGCTTTTATCCAAAAGTCCTCGATGAAAATATATTGGGACAATGCTGGGCCCTCAGAACGCATCATTCTTACTCAAATGCCTCCAGATCATAAAGTAGAACTGTGCTGGCTTGAACAGAGACACATTTTCCTACTATCTGGTGATGCAATATTCTAAAAATTGAGCTAATAACAGTATCTAGTGGGATGTGTTGCAAAACAAATCTCCACCAAATAAGAATTTCTTCAAAGCGACTTTGTTTTTGTCTATATAGCATACCTTATAGTTGAAAATATTCATGTTTTCATTACATTTGTGTTAGAGCTATTACTTATTTGAAATTTAATTTATGTAGCTCTTTATTCTACAACAAACTACACAGCATCATATGGTGTCTTAAGAAGCCTCCACTTCAAACTACAGCAGAAGATATTAATGGATTACTAATCTTACAGTGTAATATTGCCCAAAAAAATAAATTCAGAAGGGGGAATTTTGTATGCATATTTATTGCAGTTTATTGCATCTGTATAACAACATTTAACAAAAGATCCATAATAAAATACAAATTTAAAAAGTAAAATTTTAACCCTAACCCTAAAGAAATTTTAAAAAATTTAAGAAATTAAATTAAATTTAAAAAGTAAAATTAAATTTAAATTAAATTTAAAAAGTAAAAATAATAATGTTAAAAACACACAAAAAAGTACATTTTAAATCCCAAATTTTTTTTATATTAAATACCAAATAAATAATTCTTTACATTTAAACATTAATAACAGTCAATCTATGAATTTAGCCTTACGGAATTACGCTTCTGAAATTTAAGCTATGTTCACGGTGAAGAAGTGATGTTGTTGCAGCGCTGTGGTCTTGCAGCATCACGAAGCGGAACTGTCGGTTTCAGGGTGTATTTTCCGTGGGACCGCAGAGCCGATCATGGCGACTCTCGGCGGCAGTCGTGGGGATCGTCTCGGCAATTCTAATCACAACAAGTCTGCTATTGTTTCCCCGGAAAAAGTTCGTGAAATTCTCAATGAGGGGGTGTCGTCAACAGGCGTGGGTTCCAACAGGTGCGATTCTTTTTTTTTAATCAGAGAGCGCTCATGGTTCAATTTAAAAAGACGGAGAACAAGTTGGCGCTAGCTAGTTTGCCTAGCCACTTAGCTAGCTGTACTTTTAGCTTCATTCAGTCAGCATAACGAGAAGACGGATGAGATTCCGCAGGTTTGGATGCATCTAAGCTAGGAACTGGCACGCCTTTGTGCTTTCATTGTTGTATTCATCGGGCAAGTTTGTTATGGTAGCATCTGAATTGTCGCCACTGTGTACAGTTAGAGATAAGAGGGGGTGGGGACCTTAAGTTTGGTAGTAACTCCTTACTTTGCAAGTTTGCGGTTTTGCTTCCATCATTAGGTTAAACGAATCGATTCTATTCAGTAGTGTGCGATTAAAAAATGAAAATAGGAAACATATAACGTGAAGTACGCATAGCTTTAACCAGTTATATTTGTTTTATCAATCATGTAAATAAAACTGCATACTGAAGATGTGTTTTCCCCTTTTTGATGATTTCAGTGTACAAGGGGATTTGAATGTGCTGGAAGTGAAAAGCAACTCTCAAGCACCTTGCGAAGCAACGAACAAAGAAGCCTTTTTCTCAAGAGTGGAATCCTATTCAATATCCTTTTTTCCCTCATTTTGAATCAGTATGAGCCATCTTAGTTCTTGTTTTTATGTTATGTTGTTATTATTACATGTCCTTGCTGTATGTAAGTTGAAGTTTCCCTTAGCGCCGCACTGTTTGAAATGGGCAGGCAAACCACGCATACTTTCCCCTTTGATGTGTGCCAGATATGGCTGGATCAGTGTTGGCTGTGATATGCTCAAGTGCTGCAGCTGCCAGGCTTTCCTATGTGCATCCTTGCAGCCAACTTTAGACTTTGAAAAATGTGAGTGAAACTTAAAGCAACTGCACAATAACAACACTAGAGGACAAACAGGTTGTTTTGGGGTTTTTTGGCAAGGTTAGGTTGATATTGTTGGGCTGCCAAAATTTTTTTTTTTTAAATTGAAGCACATCTCCTCTTTTAAACAGATGAAAGCCGCATTGCAGAGATATCAAGGCAGCTTCAGACACAGCATGAAAAGTTTTGTCCTTGGCCTGACTTTCCATGTCCAGGTGGGAGCAAGCATTTTGCATAAAACGTATATATCAGCAAAAGTAATTTGCCTTGAATAAACTTTGATTTTCTTTTTTGTCCATGTAATGATCATGGTAAATGTTGCTTTTATTTCAGAGCGTTTCTGGCTTGTTCCAGCCTGTGAACCATCGACACTTCTTGCTGCCTTTTTGGAGCGCTTCCAGAGCGCCTGTCTCCTTGCACAGCAGCTGCCAGCAATGAAACCGGAGCAGCTGAAGTCTATGGTGAAGCTGCAGAAGGGCTTCAGCCTTTTTAGGATACTGACTTCAGTGCTGTTTAAAGCATTATACATATTATTTACATTAGAGAATACACTTAAAAGAATGCATTATCGAGATTATAGAAACAGTTGTCTGAGTCACTCCTTCACCTATACTTATTGGCCACTCTTTCCTTGCAGTCTTTGACAGAGGACGTTATCAGCAGTATGCTGCAGGTGATTGAGGAAGAACAAAAAAGAATGGGAGAGACTCCTTGCTCTGAGCCTTTAGCTATCCAGATGGCAGCATGTATTGTTTCTCTCTGCGGTTGGGCAGCAAGGTGAGATGTAACTCGAAACTCCTTTCATAGAAATCAGTGTTGTCATATGCTGACATTAAAAGTTGCGTGAAAATTTAGAAACATGGGACAAAAAAGTGTTTTTCTCCATCTTAGTCCTGCTCTGCACGCCATGAGCCTGCCGATCCTCACCTGCTCCTACTGTATGCGCAAGGTGGGCTTGTGGAATTTCCATCAGATGGAGGGAATGGGAGGTGAAGCAGACAATTCAACAAATACACTGGGCACCCCTGTTCGGGCAACCAGTCCTGCTTCAGCAACCCCAAATGATGGTCAGGGAGAGCATTCGACTTCCACCTCACCGAGCCCTGCTACAACTCCTTGTCGCATGAAGCTGCGGAGCCAGGACTCCACCCGCTCTGACCAGGTAAGGAGGAGGACCAGGCGTATTTCCCGAGCTGTGCCATTAGCTGGAAAAACACTGAACCACGCTGTGCACAAGCTATGATGCACGCTTATTAATCCGTTCAATTAGAACAAGTGAATGTAAACTTCAGAATATACTAAGCTGCTTCTATGCTGTCTTGGTGTATGTTACAGGGAGAGGGTACCTCCTCCCCAGTGGCCTTGCGTGCCCGGAGCAGAGACTCACCTAGCCCCAGCGAAGAACTGCCAAGCCCTTTGACGAGGGGCAAGAGGCCCGCAACTCGCAGTAGAGGACAGGGAGATGGCTCAGGGACTGACGGCACTACTAGCCTGCCTCCAAAGCGCCTGTGCCTCTCATCAGCTGGTGGTCTAGTAAGAACTAACATTACTGAGGTTTTTTGTTTGTTTTTGTTGTGGTTTTTTTTTTTAAATGATGGCATCAGACTTTATCTGAGGGAATCCGTACAGTCCTGCCTGGTTATTCAGCCAGTGTTTCAAGAGTAATTTGAGTATTTTGTTTGGTTTACATTTCAGTTAGAAATTTTGTTAAATTAAAACATGAAAGACAAACATTCCCTTTTTTAAGGCAGAGGTGTATAATACAAATGTTGACTTACTATCTCTTATTTCAGGATGGGCCCTTGCCCAAGAATGTATTTGACCCCTTAGCTCAGCACAGGGAATGGTGTCCCTGGATCTCCGTAGGAAAGGAGAATGTGGATCCTGGGGCTATCCCTTTTTCAGAAAAAGGTTCAGGACTTTATCAGCAGGGCTGGAAAGCTGCTCTGGACCTCCTCATGCCCATGAAGAAGAACTCCAGTATAGACGAAGGCAGTCCAGCACAGGCAAGACAAAAAGTTCAAATATTTATATTTCATAAAAAAAGAGTCATCAGACATGAATATGATAGATTTACAGATTTTTGCTTTGTTTGTTTGTTTTTTCTTCCAGG